CGGGAGGTTTTATCGACCTTCGGTTGTCCAGTAGCCAGTATCCATACCGCCAGGCACAGAGCTTTGTCCCACAACTGGATCATTCGTAGGTCTACTATTGTTAAACCGCTGCGGTCGCGTGCTCGTACACATGTTTACGTTTTGGCATGTCTAGAGGTAGGCGGAATTTTGTGGTATGTGTGCGAGTCAAGGACTTCATTACAACTGCATATTATATCTTTGTTTGTGCTAGTCCCAAGTTTGGAGCTGTTTATGAAGTGTTGAACCCAGGACCGACGTCTGGGTGTTCTGGTTACGCTTTATACACTTGTGTTGCAGGCAGAAGGTATATATATGAGTTCGATTCCCGCTTGGGAAAGATAGTTTAGTTGATCTTTTAATACTGTTCTGCTGGTGTACTGCGATGTTGTATCCCATTTATCCCCGCTGGCCTTTGCAACTTACAGATGAGGTCTAAACATCCCGCCTCCTAAGTCACGTAGAATGTGTCGACAGGAACTTAATACATACCGTGGCCTAGTCAATTGTAACCGGAGACTGATGACGCCAGGCTCGAGGTCACTGTAAGATTAGTTGTATCTCGTGGATAGTTGTGTTGGTTCTGTGGGAGGTGGCTCAGGTACTCGGACAATCCAGATGAATGCCACAGAATGGAAGGAACAGGCTAGAGGAAGAAGCATAAAACAGCCATAAGGGGCGTAAAACTTAAAAATCTCAAAGGTCTCGAACGCAAGTTGCGCACGTTAAAGATCTCTTTTTATTCCTACAGTGGATACGAGTAGGCTTCGGCTGCCATCCGGGCAAAATTCAAAATTAATTCCCACTAAACTAAAAATGTTTAATGTGTCATATGACCTTATACAGTTGCGAGAGTTGTAAAACACTTACACACACACACACACACACACACACACACACACACACACACACACACACACACACACACACACACACACAAACACACACACTCTCACACTCACACACACACACACACACACACAGGCACACCCACACATATACACACACTCAAGCACACTCAAAGAAGACAGCCAACAATGTCACAGATAGATGTCATCGATACAGCAAAAGCAAGCCCGAAGAAGCTAAAGACAATGTAATGTCACTTATGGGTGTTAGTGGGACGAGCAGAGGCCAGCAAGATATCAGAGGATATTAATTCGTAGCCAGCTATTCAAATTAAATGGACTAAGCCCAAAATTTTGAAAACTTTTCTTGCAGTTTCTTTATCGTGGTATATGTTGCATGATTTCGAGATAGCCCTTGTCAAAGCTCAAAGCAAAAAAACAAAATAAAAACAAAAACAAGATCTAATACAAAAAACACACACAAGCAGGAAAGCAAAAAAACAAAATAAAAACAAAAACAAGATCTAATACAAAAAACACACACAAGCAGGAAAGCAAAAAAACAAAACAAACAACAACCCCCCCCCCACACAAAACCCAACAAACAGAACAAAACAACCACAACAACAAAAACAAACAAACAAACAAACAAAAAAAGCCAAGAAAATATTAATAAAGTAGGCGCAGTTGTTACAAGATTTGAAACAAGTTTTTCATGTCCCCTGAAAAATTGTTTTGCCTTTTGAGCTTAGAACATTTTAACAGCTTACCCGAAATGTTATACAATTGTATTATTATAATATGTAATTCAGCGATAAAGTAAGATTTGTCATAAGAGTAATAAAAAAAACCCAACAAAAAAACAAACAGCGGCATAACATCGCGGATCCGTGTCGGTGGCAAAATGTACAGCCAAGAATCTCCCCCCCCCCAACACCCCTCCCCCTGGTGTTGTCATGCGTGACTGTTAGCCTGTTCGTGGCGTGCTGGAAAACGAGGGGGTGGGAGGGGGTGGCTAAGCTGCGGTTACCGAGGGGGGGGGGGGTGGGGTTGGAGAGGGAATATTATACATCGTCCTCACAATTATAATGAACTGCATATTATATACATTGTATGTATTGCTCATTTTTATCTCCACAAAATGCTTAATATTCACCACAATACACAAATCACAGGAATGTCAAACATGTGCACAATCGAAAAAACCCCAAAAACTTATACAAGAATTGTACATTGCTCGAACTGCGACATAATACGCGTGATCTTGGTTGACAACTTGCAATGTGAAACAATTAAAGTGCACTCGTCGGATAAAGTGATATAATGTACACCATGTATAACAAATACTCTATGGCTACAACATATTTATATCATCGTGCTACAGAACAGATTAAACTAAATGGTGTGTGTTTGGACTGTACTTTCTTACAATGATGACACAGTTATTCAATAACAGTTAATTCAATATCAGTTAATTTATTTCAACTTTAAATGATCAGAATATTTGAAAGACCTATTAAATGCAGTCATTTGAAGAAAAAAAAGTACTTATATATATGCAAATTCTGTGAAGTGTTTAGTTTCGGTATCTGGCAGGACAGAACAATATCTCATTTGTCCTGTCAGTTATAGAATGTGCATATTAAGTTATTAAAGTATCTTTTTTTCAAATGACTGCATGTAATATTATATGATTCTTAATATTATGTCTTTCAAATGTTCTAATGATTTTAAGTTGAAGTAAATTAACTGATATTGAATTACAACGTTATCGTTGTGGCGTCGGTGGTTAGGCTACCGGACTCGTAATCGTGAGATTGCGGGTTCGGGGGTTCGAGCCTCAGCTCGGTCCGACGTTGTGTCCTAGGGAAAGGCACTTCACACGAACTTCCCACTTGGATCGGTCCTATCGGAGACGGACGTTAAACGAGGAGGTCCCGCCCCTTCAATAACCTAACGTATGTTAACGTTGTAAGAAAGTATAGTCAAACTGTCCCGTCAGTTACCGTGGAATAGCTCTTTTTCCAAACCATTAAAATTTTCTCGGTGGGATGACATTACAGCTTTTTATTGGTTGATGGCCTGAGCGTTCTGGATGGCGGGATAGAGCTAGTCTGATTACACTCGTTAAATTGTGTTCATGCGCGAGTAGCAATCTGAGATCTCTGATAGAGTCAGGACTAGCTTTTTTTTCTCTCCACAGAGAATTAGAATGATAGGCACGTAGAGTATCGAACAATAGAATGAGCAGAACCGCCTCAACCGCCCGCTGAGAAAGGAGGTCGTCCGACCTACCTTAAAAGATTAAGAGCAATCAGTCTCTCACGGAACCGTGCACTGAAGGCATGCTTACATTCTGCTGTGACGGTCGTATCATCGCTTTACGTAGAGAACTACTCAGATAAAGGGACAGAGGAGGAGAAACTATCAGCTGCGTGCGTTGTACAGTTGAACCAGTCAGTGCGCGCGCGAGGAGCCTGTGACTGTGACGTTGAAAGTAAATTAAATTTCTCACATATTTTAATCTGATTCTCTTCGAACAGCGCTGCTTAGTTTTATTCTGGAAGAGTGGAGATACAGGTAGGGAGATAACAAAAACGTGTATTGTGGAAGAGTGGAGATACAGGTAGGGAGATAACAAAAAACGTGTATAGTGGAAGAGTGGAGATACAGGTAGGGAGATAACAAAAAACGTGTATTGTGGAAGAGTGGAGATACAAGTAGGGAGATAACAAAAAACGTGTATTGTGAAAGAGTGGAGATACAGGTAGGGAGATAACAAAAAACGTGTATTGTGGAAGAGTGGAGATACAAGTAGGGAGATAACAAAAAACGTGTATTGTGGAAGAGTGGAGATACAGGTAGGGAGATAACAAAAAACGTGTATTGTGGAAGAGTGGAGATACAGGTAGGGAGATAACAAAAAAACGCGGTACGTGTATTGTGTTTGGCCTCACGTCAGTGGGAAAATCTTGCAGTGAGATTTGAGTGTTGTTGTTGTTGTTGTTGTTGTTGTTGTTGTTGTTGTTGTTGTTGTTGTTGTTGTTGTTGTCAGTTTCTTTATCTTATCTTCTTGTTCATGTTCCTTTCTTCTTCCTCTTCTTCTTTTTTTTGGTAAGTGTTTTGCGGCGCCCGCAACTGCATAAGGTTATATGAGCGCACGGGACACATTAGCTCATATTCAGTTGGTAGGAAATTTTGAATTTTCTTCGGTTGTGGTCGAAGCCTACTCTTATCGATTTTGGACCACCAAGGGATCTTAAACGCGTGCAACTTGCACACGGGACCTCCGAGATTTTTCGCCCTTATCCGAAAAGGCCAGGTGTAGGTCTTTCTTACTATAAGATCGGGGGTTGTGACTGAAAGACAGCTGTAAGAGGGAGCCAAGGAGTAGCAGAAGAAAGGTTGCAGAAAGAGTCAGGGGCCCAGAGGAGGGGACAAAGGAGGTGAGGAGGTGAGAGCAGAAAGCATAGATGAGAGCAGACGACAGAACATTGTCAAAGGTGGAAGGAGACAATTTTAGAGAACATTTTCCGTTACAATCTGGATTCAAACCCGGGACCCATTGAATGAGAGGCGAATACCTTAGACCTCTAGGCCACGAGAGCCCCCTTTACTTCTTCTTTATATTACTTCTGTCTTAGTGCTGCTGCTGAGTATAATCACAAAGACAGTAGTAATACTGACAATAGTAAAAGTAATGATAACTCCTGTTTTATTCAGCTGTCTTTTTTTTTCAAATCCAGTAACTAAATATTCTGCAATATCATCCTAAACGAATTGTGAAGAAAATGATCCCGACAATTTGTAAAATAAACTTTAATTGACCCGA